TTTGGCATTTTTTTTTCATAACTTTTTATTCGTTTTTATCAATGTATTTTTATGTCTTATCTTAAGAAACAAATAAAAATTTATATATAATTCGTATCTTAGCTACGCTGATTTTGTTAAAATTTTAATTAAAATTGCTGGATTTGTCTTTCGGTTTGGCTGAGATTCGAACCACTTTTCACTAATTTAGTACATATTTAAAATAGTTCGGTTGGAATCTCGGCTAAAGAAATTTAGAATGGTTCGTGTCTCAACTATATCAATTTTGTTAAAATTATTTAACTATATCTTGTATTCAATTTTATTTCTTATGCATTTTGTTGTACTTGATACTAGGAGTGACAACATTAAAAAGCTATAAACTGTTCGTGCAACTGAAAGTGGGTCAAAATTAAAAAATATGACCTAAATATTTTTTGTACTTTTACATTTGTGCCAAATTAGAAAGAAATCGGAGTATAATTTTTGGATAGACTTGGGGAGGTTTACTTGTTAGTAAACTCTCTCCAACTCAAACTTCTAGTTCACATCTCACGCTTTCTGCATTTCTATTCTCTTGCGGATATTCCATTTATCAAAAGTTAAAAGCAGATAAAGAGATAAAAAAAAAAGAATTAAAAGTTCAAGAGGCAAACGAGGGCAAAATGGGCTTCGCGCTTTGCGAAATGAAATGAAGAATAGTCGTCTACGTTAATAGTGAGACTGTTCGCAATTCGAGTTTCGAAAGCCATTCGCAATATCAAAGAACAAGCAACTAACCAAACTAAAAAAAAAAAAACTTGATTAAAAAGAGAGATAGAGAGAAAAGTTGCTCGAGAGCTCGCTCGAGTTTCCACGTATTTTACACGTATTTCTACGCGTGGGACGGAGCTCGTGTAAACATTACATGTCTATAATATGTAGGAGAGAAAGAAATAAAGGAAGAAAGAGAAAGAAATCATACAGACGTAATTTTATAGCCCACCTACGCCAACACGAACCTGCGTGCGAGTCCAGTAGTGAACGGAAGAGGCAAAATACACCGTAACGTTCGACGAGCACGCAATAAAAAGTGCACCTAAGCTTCATCGAAGAGAAATAAAAGGCAACATGAGTTCCTACCATACGTACATACGTACGTAGGTTTCCTACCTAGGAACATGTGCATCGCACGCCGGTATGGCGCGCAATATCGAAGCATCCGCCGGTCCCATCGGCGGCGGGAAAGAAAAATAAAGGTGCACCGTATATCGGGAGACATCGATAACGTCGGCGGAAACGGCGCGAGCGACGAACAAAACGGATAAAGCGGTAAAAACAGAACGTCCCTCTTCTCTCTCTCTCTCTTGCTTCTCTTTCTGTCTCTTTCCGCTCCCTGCCTTTCTCTGTCTGTCTCTCGACGAGATCTAATTCAAGTGACGGTCGCAAAAACGACGTGTACTTCCGGATTTCGTAACTCCGTCGCGGCTACGCGAGAAATCGAATTACCCACACCGTGAACACCCGCTCGATAATTCGCGAATATTCTCGCGAGATTAACTCTTCTGAAGAAGAGCGAGAACGCGTGTGCGCGCGAACGAGCGCAAGAGAGAGAGAGAGAGAGAGAGAGAGAGAGAGAGAGAGAGAGAGAGAGAGAGAGAGAGAGAGA